GAAAACAAAACAGGTGTTTATTTAACTATTTGCATTTTAACATTGCTATCTGTGCCTGAATATTGTTATCCTCTGGCAAAAAAAAAAAAAAAAAAAAAAAAAAAAAAAAAAGTACTTAAAGCACTATTGAATTTATTTTCCAGAAGTTTTTCTTTTTTAACAGGCATTTTAAAGAGGATGCAGTCATTTTAAAGTGTGTCAACTATGCAATCAGTTGTACTCAACAGTGGTTTTTTTTTAATTTTAATTTACTTTAAAGGGCTAAACTGCCCTTTTAAGTAAATTAAAATTAAATAGTCCATTGTTGAGTACTACCAATATCAATATTATATTGATATATAATATCAATATATCAAGCAAGGACCACAGTTGCCTCTTGACCATTCAAAAGCCACAAGATCACAGCAGTGCACGTTACCTGCAGTCACTGTGGCTGCCACACAGGACCTTGGTAAGAGACCATGCAGGGAGCATTTGAACCAGGCTGATAAATTATCTGCACAACACCACTTCCATTCAGTCTCATCTTCTCCTTTTCCAAACAGATTATCAACAGTCTGATACTGTCCAAATCTGATGAGGGGGTTTCTTGAATGAATAAGGGTTGCAGTGCTGTCCAAGAATATAACTAATATCCAATTAACCAAAGTATCCAAGACAGAGGATATAAAATATGTGAGGCACTAGAATGCCTTTGCAGCTCCTCCTGCCAGTGCACCAGTCGTTTTCTAACACTGCAGGGCTCCAAGACCTTACAAGAGTAAGATATGCATGCCTACATATCCTCCCCATAAAACAGAAAGCAGCCACTTAGAATCCTGCCAGGACAAGTAATGACACAGAATTTTCTAAAACAGTATAATCTGGCAATAAAACACTGCCCAATAATTCCTTGCAGAGACAGAATTCCATGTGCTAAGGTACGACCAGAGGAATAAACCTTCAGAGTTAAGATAAAATAATTAAAAGTCTTTAGGTATCTCTGCCAGATTCCTCAGTCTCATTAATCCATAGGCAATATAAATTTGAAAATAAGATTCCTGTGATAATTTTTGCCATTGTGTGTGCTGCAGATTATGTGACTAATTCAGAGCTTCAAAGCCACACTCAGAGACAGAATCCCAAAGCACAACGTCTGCTGGTGGCCCAGGTGACTCTGCTTCACCTGCCAGCTCCATACCAGACCCAGCAGGGCTCGCCCAGCTGGCTCTGATCCTTCAGCTGCCCCCTCATCTTAGGGAGATAATGCTCCCAAAGGCTGTGTGTTTTCCCAGATTCTTCCCAAGAACAAAGTAGGAAGGCAGATTGCAGATGTGGGGGGAGATGGAAACATTAATCCAGCTTCAGCTTCTCACCCAGCCCAGATCTTTGGTGAGGAAGGAGGACAGGGAGGCCACTGGGAATTATCTTCCTTCTTTAATACCTCCTCTGAAAGGTTCTGCCTGAGCTGCTTCTAAAGAATTACTCAGAGGATGAGGGAGAAAAGAAAAAGGCATTGACAGGAAAGGCATCAGTGCAAGATCCCCTGTGTGATTTTAGACTGGGAGCTGGGTTATAAGGCTTATATGGAAAATAAGGCTCCCTTACAGAAAGTAACATTAGGCCCCTGCCAGAGGAATCCCTAAGACAAGCCTGTTCCTAAGCCTGTTAGGACATGCCATGAAATACTGCCATTCTGAAAATGAGGGAATTCTCAAGGAGCCCAGCAGAAACACTTTTTACAGTGGCTAGCCTGGCTGTTATTCTCTCTAGCAGCAAAGCCAACCAAATGAACATTGCAAGCCATGTATTTCTCAGAAGAAGCACTTGGCTCGGAGTATTTTGCTATTTGAAATATATATATATGTGCTTCACTAAGTTTTTAATGAGCATATTTGGGCCAACTTGAGAAAAGCTCAATATTTTTGCCCAGTAACTGCAATTAATTTTGTTCCATGTGCTTGATGGACGTGCTATCCATTTCTGCTCCTTGATGACTGACAGACCTCCTGAAAAAAACCTATCAGGCAGACAAATAGGTTTGGAAAATGGTAGTACCTTCTTTAGTTCCAGGCCAGCAACTGATGATCAGAATTTATGGCTTGGAGGTTTTTCTTCAGCTCCAATGCTGACATAACCCAAGCAGGCATTTGTTGGCTGTTGCCATAGTGACAGCAGGCAGGGAATGTTCCAACAGCTCCGAGCTTGGCACAAGGACGCCTCTTTAGCTTGCTAACAAATGTCTGATTAAACATTCATGTTCCCCCAGACACCCAATCCATATGGATGACTGACTCCACGAGCACTTGACCCAAATCCTGGTTTGTTACGTGGGTGAGGTAGGAGTGAGGTGGTGGGGAAGGACCTGTCACAGCACAGCTTTGCTGCCAGCAGGCACAGCTCTTATTTGGAAATGAAATGAACAGCGGGCATGGGATCAAGCTCCTCTGTCTGCACGTACTACTCCAGTGACATGTGTCTCAGTCTTCATGATACTCAGAGCCAGCCCCAAAAGGGTGCCTGAAATCACCATGAATCACAGGGAAAATATCTTTTGGGTAGAGTCACAACTTTTCCTTGACTTTCAGTGGGGCCTCTGTCCCTCACTGATCTCCTGCTCCACAAGAGATGATCTTTCTCTGCTGGAGCTGCCAGAACAGGTGTTGCTTCTCTGCTTTGAACAGCTCAAGATAAAGACATCCTCCTCATCCTCTTCCTGTTTACTCTCACACAAACCCTCCCACTGCCCCTCCAAGGATTACACATCCAACTCCTGCCCCATCCCTGTGATCTGCTGCAGCATTCGTGGGAGAGGGACAGAAGCTTTGGCCAGGGAAGTGCAATGCCAAGTACAAGATGTTGACCCTACCTGTCCCCCAGACTGGAATGAGGATGCCATGCAGGAACTTCAGGAATGCACATTTGTGTGCTGGAAACTGGGGCTTCAGCTGGGACACAGCAAGAACGTGGGGCACTGTGGGAGAGGATCAGGGGCAGCTGCACAGAGGGAGAACAAAACACCTTCTGGAGATACTAAAATTGGTACCTTGTGACTTCAGAGATTGTTGATAATGGGTTTTTTTGTTCCTTCCTTTTAGGATTTCATGTTAGTGTTGTATTACCCTGTGCTGGGAGGCCTCTGCAGAGACACTCCAGGAGCTGGACTGAAACCTTGATTAAGCCACTGAAGATCCTCTCCTGGCATCCAAAAATGTTCTTTTGGCCCTTGCCACAGTAACAGAAACCATGCTTGTTACCACCTTATTTCCTACCCAAGCACAAAAGAAGTTTAAGCCTCACACAAGGACAGAAGAATTTGTTTATGGAAAATTTATCTCATGTTAATGCACATTATCCAGGAATAGCTTACAGAAGGGAAGATCTACAGGAAATTTCACCTCATTTTCATCTCATCTTGCTTTAAAGATCCCTTCTGTCCTTTCCTGCTAGATTTCATGCTACCAAGCCTTGGTTGTGATGATATCCAGTGCTCCTAAATCCCAAGCCTCGACTCAGCAGCACTCTGGGGATATTAGGGCCATGTGTGACAGCAAAGTGCCAGAACACTGCTGATGAATTCCTGTGGAACACCAGCTGATGGGACTTTCCTGCCTGGTGCTGGGCTCTCACAGCCTCAGCAGCAGGAGGAACATCTACAAATATGTGAATACTCACACAATAATCACTACCACAGATTAGACACTGGGTTTTTCTGTGGTGGTTCTAAAACCAGCATTTATTGAAGTCAACTTCTGTGGCTCTCAGTCATCTCTCACAGCCCCTGTGAAGCTTTAGGGCAATCTCACTCTCAGTTGTCCATTTTGGGATTTGCCAGAATAGACCCAGAATTCAGAGAGTCATCCCACTGCCTCCAGGCCAGCTCCCAGGAATTCATGGACACTAGTCACATCAGCCATGAAATGATTCACAGCAGCAAAGCACAATGAAAAACTGTGCCTCTGTGGCAGCCCTGCACTGGGTTCTACAGAGGAAGAGTTTACCCAGAGGACAGTTATCATCTTATTGCAAAAGCTTCATACCTTCTTGGTGAGTTCTCATGGGCAGCTCCTCGCAGCACTGACTCCTTCTTATCAGCACAGCCACCAAACTCCATATAACTTCATGCCCAGCCAACCTACTCTTTTACACTACCCCTCCTAACTGGATCCAGCTGTGGCCTATTAAGGGCAGGCCTGTTCCTAATTATTGGCAATTAGCACAGCTGTAACTCCTTAGGGGTGAGATTACCTTCACCACTATCTCTATTCTCCTACATTCCATCCATCCACAGACAGTGGGGTAGAACTTTCAAACACAATTATATTTTTCTGGATGAATGTAGGATTTGTAGTTTTCAATCATGCAAAGGTCTGGTGTTATCTGTTAAAAGCCTAAACTTTCCCTCTTTCCTCCAGCCTGTTTTTGTAAATACACCAACAGAAGGGTTTTGTCTCTTTGTATGTGGAACCACATAACTCTGCCACTTCTTCTGGAAGAGGTTGTAATTGAATTCATTTAGTACCAATTTGTTGAAGAACACTGAATACTTTACAATCCCTCATCAAGTAAAGTTTCCTTAACTTCAAATAAAAATATGATGCTAAGCCAGGGATGGAACCCCTCAGGGACAAGACTCAAACCATGTTCAAGTTCAGCCACCAAGAGCTACACAAGTCAGAGAATTAATAAAAACAGCAGCTTTTTGCCATTTGGGGATAGCACAACATGTAAGCATCTTAAAAGCTGAAATTCAGCCACTTCAGTAACTCTAACAGAGCACTAAGATAAAATTAAGCTTACATATCAGTTCTAGGCATATTTTTAAAAATCTGTATTTTTCTGTTATGTATGTTTCTGTCTCAACAGGACTTTAAAGATAGGAAAGCACTGGAAAATGTGATTGACTCTAAGCCTACCCCTTCAATGTGCAGACATGTCCTGCCCATAATTATTTCTGCCAGTTACATATTCAGTTTTCCCCAAGTGTCATTTCTGACTGGTTCTTCAGAAAGTTTCCATACCTGCGCTGGCAGGTGGCTCTTTCTTCCCCTTTTCTCCCTGAAGGTCAGAGACTCCACTTGAAGAACCTGTAATGAAAAGACATTTGAAGAATCCACATTTCTCAGTGCTCCAGCATGCTGCTCTCCAGCCTCTTGCTGACAGCTGGTATTAAAATCCTGAGCTGCTTCTCATGTCAGGCAATTGAGAGGCAAGGCAGGCTCAACAGCCAGAGCAAGGAGACAGAAGCCGTTCTGAAAGCATTAGAATTCCCGGAAAACTCTCAAGAGATTCTGACTATCAATAAAACAAAACAAAAGAAAACAACAACAACAAAACAAAAAAAAAAAACCAAAGTTTTCAGACAGGTCTCAAGCTGGCTAACAGAAATATCTGAAAAATGCTAACAATCTGCTACCCCATCATCTATCAGCAAACATGGGAGACAGAACCGGGGGAAATGAGGATGAATGCTATGAGACTTAATAATTTGGTAAATGAAATATGACTGAAATTCTGATGAATATCTATATCTGCCTCTGGCCTCTTCCTTTCTGGTATTGAGCCAACAATCCCAGTGTGAAGGCTTATGCTTGTTTTTCTCCTGAGCCATCCTGAGAATAATCCCAGCAGTGAAATACTTGTTCCATTCCTTCTGCTCAAGACCTGTAACACCTGACCTGCTCCCAGAACTAACTGCACATTTCTACCTGGACATATATTAAAACGTCACTCCTTATAAACAAACTGGGTTTTCTCCAAGGATTAATGTTGATGGAGCATAGCACAAAACACACAATAAAGATTCAGCTCAGGCCAGACCAACAGGCATCCAAATGTCCCAAGAACACAGAGATGACAGACACCAGCTATGAAAGGTTCCAGCATTTGGCAGGCTGGGAACAAAAAAAAAACTCACCTGGAGAAGGCTCCAGGGAGAGCTCAGAGCCCCTTCCAGGGCCTGAAGGGGCTCCCAGAGAGCTGGAAAAGGACTGGGGACAAAAGGTGGAGTGCCAGGACACAGGTAATGGCTTCTCACTGCCAGAGGGCAGGGATGGATGGGATATTGGGAATTAGGAATTGTTCCCTGGCAGGGTGGGCAGGCCCTGGCACAGGGTGCCCAGAGCAGCTGTGGCTGCCCCTGCATCCCTGGCAGTGCCCAAGGCCAGGTTTGGAGCAGCCTGGGACAGTGGAAGGTGTCCCTGCCCATGGCAGGGGTGGGACAAGGTGGCCTTTAAGATCCCTTCCCAGCCCATTCCATGAATCTGTGATTTTCTTCCCTCAGTGCAGTTACTCCAGAAACTCCACAGCTCTTCCAGCAGGGCTGCAGTGGAATCATCACAGTCTGCATTCCAGAGAACTGGCAGAGGAATCAAAACACAGCACAGGATCAGCAGGAGTGCACAATTTAACAGTGAGTTTGAGCCCATGTAATGGCCAATGCTGATAAGGAGCCGATGATAAGGAGGTGTTGCCACTACTGCCTCCTTCCCAGCAGCTCCATCACACCTCCTGCCAAAGGAGCTGCTCCATCTTCCTAGAGATTGCTTTCGTGAAACAAAACAATAACAGAAAAGCAATTATGCCAGTCATGACCTCAGTCAGCTTTCCTAAGTCAGGGAAGTGCCACTGTGAGGAAAAAATCCTGGGAAACATTTTTAATAGGAATTCTGGGCTGCCTGTTCAGAGATTCTGTACCCAGATTCTGTTCCTGTACCCAAAGGAAGCAACACTGTTGGACTGTGAGATACAGTCTTTCCCAACTGAGGTACCTTTCACAGTGCTTTTATCTTCCCTGTTGTTTCCCAGGAAACAGCTTCTTCCTGCCAGTTCAGACCACTTCCAAAAGGGAGACCCCAATAATCCTACACATGACCAGCCACTTCAAACCATCTTCATGCACAGCAAGGAGGAAACAAGGCTAACACACAAGAGCTGGTTGATCACTTCCACTGGGTGTATGGCAACCCTCTCAAGTTTTTCAGAAAACATCAGGATCTGCTCCATATCAAGACTGCAAGAAATGCCATCCCTTTAGCACACCCTGCTTCCAGTGAGCACATCCAGAGATATCCCTGGGATCTGCAGGGAAAACAGAAACCCCTCACCCCTGAAATCACAGACAGCTTTGATTGCAGGTATCTCAGGGAGCACCTGCCAGGTGAGGTTCCCAAAAGTCATTCCTCTAGGGCTCAAAAAGATGTAGATAACCTGGTAAACTCTCTTTCACTGGGCTGCCAGGCCAGGAGGCAGCTCAAAGGTCTGGTCCCTTCTCACCATCTCCTCCCAGATGCTGCAGAAAACCCAGAGGGCCAAATGCCAATTTTTCATACCTGAACTATTTTTCAATTCCTATCCACATATGTTATGACTCTCTCAGCACAGTTTTTGTGAAGAGGTAACCTGGACAGATTGAGAACTTCATCAAGCAGAATTTGTGGGCAAGGGGAGGACAGACAGTTTTAGGAACAGATTCAAACAGCTGCAGAAATGGGGGTGTGTGCACAGGTGTTTCTGTATGTGTGTGTGTGCACATCCTGAGCAAGATCAGGAAAGATGTTAACAGCTTCTCCCAAACCCCCTCTAAGGCTCCTATAGCTCAGAGTTTATTTCTGACATAAAATACAAAAGTTCAGGCCTTCAAACCACATGGCTGACAGCACCTGAAATGCTGTAGGTGTTTATCTGGATAAATTTTAAATTTCTATCTCCTCTATCAGTCATGGAGGTGCCTGTGAATGAATTAAGCAATAAAACAAACTCATATTAGTAACATTTTTCTGTGTTTGCAATGAAGATCAAGTGCTTTAAGTGCCTTCTGAGTTAGTGGGGTCACAGAGATGAGTATTTCATCATTCCCTTCCAAAACCTCAGCAGCACAGCCTTTCTTCCCACTGTGCACCCTAAACTTAGGCTCCAGTTTTATATTCTGTGTCTTCTCATGATACAGCTCAAAGCACAATCCACCTCCACTGCCAAAGAGGACTTTTGGAAACATCTATAATTTATCTATCTATATTATCTATCCATAAATTCATCATGAATTTATCTATTAATTCATCATTATTATTACTAATGCATATAAATTGCCTTTTAAACCCTCAAAGTAGCTCAGTAAAAATAAATTAAACATTAGCATATTTCTTACAATTAGATTCTCATCACATTGCTAATCATAGTCATTCCAGTGAATGGGGTTATTTGAATAATCTTAGTTGCATTTTTGTATTGAAAGAGACAGGACAAAAGAGATTTTCTGTTAGAGCTGTGGAAGCCATACAAAATGTATAATTAAGTATTTCACAACTGCTCAGTATAAACAAAAGTAAAAATAAAATGATGGGTTCTTACTTGAAGTTGTCAAAATATGATGGTATTTTAATTAAAGACCAAAATCTGTGTGAAGAGACAGTTGAAGGAAACAATGTCATAAGGTACAGGACTAAAAGTAACAGAAGTAAACATATAAGTTTGCAGTAAATCTTCGACTATGCCATTATATAATGTTTCTAAATAATTCAGCAATTTCATAAATATGCAGCTGCAAGAACTAGCCCAATATTCTCAAGTAATTTTTTCTCCCACAAAGACATTCTATATGGTCTTTTTGTATCACTTCAGGAGAAACCCATCTTCTGACTTCACAAAAACAAGTTCCTTGCTGTGCCTCAGCCTCAGTGAGCAGGACACACAGAAACAGCCTGTGCAGAACATGGAGTGGACACATCCACCCCCATGCTCAGGTACCAGCAGGCAGCACCTGCACACTCAGCCCACAGCAGCACCGAGTTTGTGCTGTTCAAATCATTCCAGTGCTGAATTTGTGCCATCCAAATAATTCCAGTGCCTGCTTGAGTGGGAAAGAGCAAAATCCAATGGTGCAAATAAAGCCAGACAACAAAAAATATTGCAAGCATAACTTACATGTGCATAAATTAATAGTTCAAAATTTCATCTGGTGGGGGAAAATGCACTCTGTGAATCACAGCAGAAGGAAAATTGTTAACAGTGAACTTGGGCTGACTTAAATTACCTCAGTGCCCTTTGTAACACCTTAGCTATAGTCTGATATATTTTAAAAAGAAAATGTCCCTTCCTACCTGTGTGATTCACCAGCAGCATCAGGCAGATGCCAGAAAAAAAGACTTCGGGTGTGAGGTGCCAGGTCCTGCTACTGGCAAGGCCTGTTTGGTGTTGGCACTGCTCTGGCAGCAAGGCTGCTCACTCATTTTGTGCTGACCACATTCACTGCTCTTCAAAATGCCAAATGCCAGTAAACAATGAATTATTCTCCACCCACATAGGCAAAAAGGGGTCAGAGAGAGCTAATATCACCAGACCAGTTGATTATTGGCTTAACTTTATTGAGGGACAAATCAAGGTCTTCCAGCCTTGCACCAGAATTCCCTCTGCTTCCCACAGGGCAGCCTGTTCCAACACATGCCATGCCACCTAAGCTGCCTTAATGAGGAAAGACACTTCAAACAAGACCCTGCTTCTTTCCAAAGGCTTCAATGTTGGAATACAGAATATATTCCTAAACCTAATCCAAGCCAGGATGGGCTGTGAACACTCTGAGGTACAAGCAGAGAGTCCAAAATCACAGATGAAGGAAGTACTCTGAAATCAAAGAAACTAAACTCAAGGTGAAAACAACCAAACTCCAATACTCTCATGAGAATAGCCCATTTGGAAGATGCCCAAATAACCTAGGGACTAGATGGTGAATCTCAAAACATGATACAATACTTATATCACTAAGCAAATGAATGCAGAATGATGTTGACAAAGACAATGCTCAGGCTGTGATGCACCCACTGAAAAGCTGGATTCTCTTTCCTCTGCTCTATTAGGGCTTCAAAAAGCCATTTTGGACCACTGCACTACCACAAAATTGTAAACCAACTGCTCCAAAGGAACCATCTATAATAACAAAATTATTGGGAAGCATGATGCATGACCAAAAAAAAGGCATAACAAAAAAAAATTCATATGACTACCACATTTTTCAAATGCTTAGAAGATTACAAGTATGCTGGCAATCACCAGTACTCTGTGATGACTGCTGAGGACAGACAATTTCAAAGTA